GTGATTCCAAGAAAAATGGTGGTATCAACAAGAATCAGTTCTTCCCCATTTAAAATTACATTCGTATTAACATGTTTGACATAAGGAGTTATGAATTTCACACATTTAGTTTTAGTTCCATTTAAATGCAAATCATTAACATTAATCCAATTGACTAACTTAGCTTTAGCATTATTTACTTGGTCGTAATTTAATAACTGTCGTTTTAATATGAAAATTAATGAAGTATCATCAGTAAATAATACTATATCATGGCTATCCCCTACTATGTAACGTAAGTCATTAACATATACAAGAAACAGAAAGGGGCCGAGAATTGAACCCTGAGGCACGCCCATTTGTGCAGTCGACCCGGAAGAACTCATATTATTAATTACAACTTTTTGCGTTCTGTCACTTAAATATGAAATAATTAATTTAAGAGCATCACTTCTTACACCGTAGTGTTGAAGTTTCCTGATTAATGTTTCATAGTGAACACAATCGAAGGCCTTGGATAGGTCACAGAATATACCCAAAGCATTAAAGATATATTTAATAAGCTCAACACCAGCATCAGTTGTCGAGAGACCCCTTGTGAAACCGAATTGATTTTCATGAAGTAAATTATTTACATTAAAAAAATTTAACATTTGATCATGAATAATTTTTTCAAAAATTTTACTAAGTTTTGGCAGTACAGAAATAGGTCTAAATTTAGCGGGGTCCAATGTACTGCCAGATTTGTATAAAGGTATTACTTTACTATGTTTTATTAAATCAGGAAACACACCAAATTTGATACTAGTATTCAAAATAATAAATAGTTGAGGTGCGATTGCATCTATTATAGACGCAATACCTTTAACGGAACTCCCCCATAGATCGGCGGTTTTCTTAATATCTTCTACTTCTTAACATATTTTAGAATATCTTTCGATGACACTTTATGAAATGTAAAATTATTTGTACGCGCATTTACATTTTGTTTAAGTAATGATTCGGCGACGGTAGGAGAAGAATTCAGTGACTTAGGCGTTAAGATAGGAATATCAGTAAAATATTTCTCGAAAACCATTGCAACGTCCTGATCCGATTTAGTTAATTTATTGTTAAAACATAACTGGTAGTTCGAATTGCGAGAGTTGACTTTACCAGTTTCACTATTAATTATACTCCATGTCATTTTAATTTACTAACTTAAGTAACCTATTATTAAAACGTGTAAAGTTATTGCACTCATTTTGCTTGTGCGCTATCTTCATACGGTTCAATAATAGGCTACTTAAGTCCCTAGTATAGTAATGTACAATATTTTTTTCAATCGAAATCTTTTGTCGATCTGTAAAATGTCTACAAATCTCCGAGTTCAGTACTTAGTTGTTACTTATAGTTGATCAAGTCAGCAGTATTTTGAAGTACAAAGATAAAAATAGTTTCAAATAAAAAACGCGTTCTAAAACCCAAGGGTTTCTTCGGTTGAAGTCAGTATTGTAAAGAATAAAAACACCGACAAAATATAAAGCTTCAAAAATATCTAACACTAATCTCTTTAATATAATGCCTCACCTACTTGACTCGGAAAACTGCGTACATTAGTTATCTGTAAATATTGATATAAAATTGCGGAGGACATTGCTTCACACTTGAGGATCAGCGTAACAATAGCCATAACATACATAGTTATCATAGCTCGTCTTTTGTACTTTTAGACACTGTAGGACCTCGATTCAGAAAATGCTCCATAATGCGATGGCATCGCAATAATGTTTCTAAAACGGCGTAGAAACTTTCTAACTCATCTAATAAGCTGATAGTTAAATTGTGCTTTAGGACTGGTGTGTTTGTGTAAAACAACGAATATTTTATCCTACGATGATATCTAAAACTTTCTCTTCACATACAGCTACACAAACACGCGTCTTGGTGTTTTCGTTACTACTCCTACAAATTATTATTAGGTCTATAAATATCTATACCATATACCATATACTTATGTCATTGTCGTTTTGTTCAACTGGCCACTTTGATCTGTATTTATGGTTGACTTGGAATTTTAAATAAAAAAATTATGGCATGTTATTTCATTTTTAGTTAGTTTTTTTATTCTGCAATATTGCTATTTTTATAACAAAGGAATAAGGAAATTCAAATTAAGTTAGCTGAATCGGCAAGGAAAGGAGGAGATTTTGAGTCGAATTGTTAACTGCGATGAGAAGTGGCTCCCATATGACAATCGCAAGCGTTCATTACAATGTTCCAATCCAGATGCCTAAGCCCATCAGTGCTTGAAACAAAACATGAGCCACAACAAGCTCAAGAAGACAGTTTGATGGTTTATCCTTAATGTTAATGTTTAAAAAAAATTTATTAATTACAGCTGTCAAGAATTGCAAACGACGAAGAAGCTAGCATTCAAACAATCCAGATTGATGAACTGCTCCTCGCCATTACTTATTCATGTCAACGCCCAGCCACATACTGCACAACATATGTTGGTAAAATTGGCAGAGCTAATGCTTGCTAGAGAAGTTTCTAAACTATTTTCAAAATTTGCTTACTTCAACTTTTTAGGAGGAAAAAATTTCAATTCCCAAGAAGCAGTAGAGAGCACATCCAAAGAGTTCATCGATTATCGTGCAGCATACTTCTATAGCATTAACATCAACAAGTTACCTATAGACAGTAAGAATGTGTTGAGAGCCAAGGCAAATATTATTATTAATTTTTTTTTTGACATTCGATTTGACTAAATATTGTAAAATATCCTTTCTAATTAATATATAATTTAGTTCCGTTACCGTTACCTTTGCCGTTACAGCCCACTGCTGAACAAATGCCTGCCCCATAAATTGCACCATAGGGCCATTTGCCATAGTTGCCACGCTTAGCAAGCGTGTTGGCAACCCCAGTTTTTTTATTTTTAGTCATTATTAGGAAGACGCTGCTGCACTTTTCCTGATTTGTAACCCAATTTAATTGTAGGAGTGTCATAGATTTAATGTCTATTTGTATACCTTGGATGGAAAAATATAAGGGTTGAATGCAGCGAACATAATTTTTTTAAAGATCAATTCTTTCTTTACCTATTAGTTGTATAAAATGGCAAATTCGTAGAAAAAGACCAAATGTATTAATATATACTACTGTACATTTTAATTTAAGAACTAGATATTTCAACAATTTTTTATCATACAGTGGGGTTAATTTCTGATGCATATGCTTTTTTTTAAAGCTATTGCAATATCGCCCTAAGCATAATTTTGGAATCGAGGCATTCCATCTTAGTTTTCAAGGGTGGCAAGGCATCTACATTTTGATTCTTAATCGAGGTTAAATATAGATGTCTATGGGCCACAACACCCACTTACCATCAGATAGACTGTGTGCTCGTTTATCATCCATATCCTATAAAAAAAATATATCGATAGTTCTGTTCAATCTCTGATTGTGTTCGATCTGTTATAGGAAAAGTCTCGGTTTGCTCTTTATATTTACCGCTTTACTATTGCTCTCAGTTGTATCTGAAATTTGACATACAGGAGTTTTTGAAAAATTATACAACCATGACACGAAGGAAAATGGAGACGAATCTAACCACTTTACTTAACTTAATCTAATCACTTACACTTGAAAATCCGTCCAGCTGTTTAGGCTACAAGAGGGAGATAAATATCATTGCTTACAGTTTTAATTACTAAGCCCAACCATATATTTTACAGTAATTCAATTTAATTGAATGCTTATGGCCGATTCATTTGTAAGTAATCGTGGTACTCCTGAATCACTTGATCGATCGGTTATATTTACATGTTCATTGTTTACACAATATTAAGGAGTATTTGTTTATAGCTATGCTAGGATTACTATGATCGATTGTCTCGTCAATTCAAATTACCCGATTAGTGGCGCTGTAGTCAAGTTCTCATTAAATTCTATATTAATGGACCAAAATGATTCATATTTTCAATAGGTACCACTACTCTAGGAAAGACACACCATCGACAATAATACGACACGTGTTTCGCCTCTACACGAGGCATCTCCAAGTGATGTAGACTCTACATCATGAATGAAGATGCCTCGTGTAGAGGCGAAACACGTGTCGTATTATTGTCGATGGTGTGTATTTCTTAGAGTAGTGTAGTTGGGAGTAGTGGTGTTGGGAGTAGTGGTGTTGGGAGTAGTGGTGTTGGGAGTAGTGGTGTTGGGAGTAGTGGTGTTGGGAGTAGTGGTGTTGGGAGTAGTGGTGTTGGGAGTAGTGGTGTTGGGAGTAGTGGTGTTGGGAGTAGTGGTGTTGGGAGTAGTGGTGTTGGGAGTAGTGGTGTTGGGAGTAGTGGTGTTGGGATAGTGGTGTAGGGAGTAGTGGTGTTGGGAATCGTGGTGTTGAGAGTCGTGGTGTTGCGAGTATTGGTGTTGGGATTAGTGGTGATGGCATAGTGCATGTAATTGAGGGAGGGCGGTAGGTGCTCTTCAAACTAGGTAAGACACATCATTTTATTTTATTGAGCGGATGGTTGCAAAGTAACTATTAATATCTTTAATAAGCCAAATTTCAAACATCTTACTGAGAAGGCACTGAGAGACATTTAAGGTAATTCAAAAAGTGTTGTCCATAAAACAAAAGTGTTATGCATAAATCTTGAAAGATATTATTCAATTATTTCCCGAAAAAAAGGTAAGCGAGGTAAGGGTAAATACTAATAATTTGGTTCCAATTTAATTTTTATTGATTATAAGTTTGTAACAACCTAAAATACTTGACATTTATTAGTTATAACATTTAACTGTCTTTGTAAAGGTTCTAAGGCGTTGCATGGTATCTATTACTTTCACAACATCAACTTCAAACATCAACTTATAGGGCAATAGAACAACTTGAAGAACTCAATTTAACAATTAAATGTATCTGAAGTTGATATCGGAGGCCATGCTATATTTTTTACGATGAATTGTAATTATTAACATTATTATTGAGTATTATTTACACGTGTACAGTCTTTTAATTTAACTTAAAGAGATCACTTCTTAGCGCTGAATCCCTCTCCTGTGGGGTCTAAAATCCATGGATAATTATTTGGGCATTCCATGCAAGTGAATAGTCGCAGTGTCTCTCCTGGCAGTTCCCGAGTAGTCAAGGGACATGCATTTGGCAAGGAACAGAATGGTTGACCTTTTACGTCACATTTGTCTTGTTTCCATTCCTGGAAGTCCCTAAGCGCTGATAATTCTGTAGGGTTTTGCATCCATTGTATTACTTGTATTAAAGAGGTGAAATAGACGTCATTCTTTTCTAACATTTCTTCAATGAATTTGATCAGTTCGTCTCTGAATTCTTTTTTAGATTTAAGCCAAGAAGCATGGAAATGTAGACCAAGGGGTGCACGATTGGTTGTGTAGTGACGGTTGAAGTTTTGACGAAGGAGACGCGCAAACTGCTCACCGGTTTGGATGTTAGAGCACGAGTCAACTACATGACAACCAGGTAAAGATTCATCGAAAGTAGGATCGTCCCTCCTGTCCAATTCGTTCATAACCATTTCCCAAACCGGATGGCTCCTTGATGGGCAGTTGTGGGCGTTACCATTGCATTTGTGAGGCATTCGGAAGTACAGCGTGTAAGGCCAGATGGGAACACGACCAAGAGGAGCAGTTATTGAAGCATCGTAAACGAAGTATTGATCGGCCATCATCTCAAATTGCTTGTTACCGCCAACACGTAAGTATGGAGCACGAACACCAATAATTGAGGCATCCGTGATATTTGCAAAACGTTCAGCAATTAAACGGCCTCCGGCCATTTCAGCAAGCCAGTCGTCATAACTTCCTCCAGACCAGTAAAGAGGGTCATCTTTGTGAGTTATTGAGAATACACCAATTTCGTGGCCCTTACGGTGCAATTCTTGAACTGCAGCATAGTTGGTGTATTTGTGAGAAATAAAGAATGTACCACGAATTTGGCATCCATTTGGATTATGACGGTTTCCATTAAAGATTTGGTCATATAAGTCGATATTATCTACATTGACAGCACCATTGAAGGTAATAGTTATCATTTGAGGTACTTGATTTGGTTCTATGCCACCGGGGATACGGGTTCCATCAGCTGAGCAAAAGCAGTCTGGTAGAGTACACTGAGTAGTATCGCAGTCGGGAGCTCTGTTTGGGTCGAGGTCAACAGCTGTAAACAATTTTTAGTGGTTAGTGAAATTATTCTATTATCTAAAATTTTGTTGTATACTACGATAATTAAGAAAATAAAAATTTTGTTGTATATTGCGTGCTATATTGTTATTGTAAATAATAAACTTACTGCAAGCATTTTCATCAGACTCATCTTTGCAGTCGGGTTTTCCATTACAGAATAAGGCTTTTTCAATGCAGTCGCCACTACCACATGCAAGATTTCCTTCAGGACATATGGGCTCATCCGTTTTTAGTATAGGCATGACCTTTCTTGGTTCTGAAATTTAAAATAGATAATTATTATAATTGATAGCTTTGTAGGGGTGTTTTTTATTACTTTTTTAACGCCTTGTACATAATTCACAGGTCTTAAACGTTACTAAGTTTTTTAGCTTCGTCTGTGTAATTGGCTTCCATGTAGAAGTGTTGAAAGGGATTCATTGTAGGAAAAGTATGAATAGAGACAGCGAAGCGTGACAGAATTACAAAGTTAACATCACAGAAAAATTAATAGAAAGTGTAGGTGGAAGAAGTACTTAGCTGATACATATTGTAAGAGTATAGCCAAGTTCCTTGTGATTAATTAGTAACAGGATCTAAGACAAATTTTATATTGCTTTAAAAGTAAGATATGATGATAGCAAATGCTCCGAAAGTAACAAATATTTTATATGATCGGAAGATAATTGCAGTAAAATCTGACAGAAAAAGAATTGAAGTCTGTGAATCTTTAATGACCATGAAAAGACCCATCATGAATAAAATGTATAATTCTTTATCGTGACTTATCAAAAGATGTTTTATGATTTGCTAAAAAGTTTTGTTAAATTCTGTGAAAAGGTTGCTTAAAGGCTTTTATTTACAATTTTAAACAGCCTTTTACACAAACATTTGGTACTTATGATTCTAAGAAAAGAAGAAATGAATACATGATTACTAAAATATTCTTGTTAAAAATTATGTTAGTCCAACAAGCGGTGTATTTACATATTATGGTTTTGCACTAAACCAAAATTTTTATACTCAAGTGAAACTAAGAAAGTTAGTAGTGACAAAAACCGGTTTGTGAATAAGTGTTAAGTGAAGTTGTGTTAAAAGAAGCGTTAGCATACAAACAGCGTTAAGAAAGGTTCGTGACAAAAGTGTTAAGTGCTTGCGTTATAGAAATAAAAAGGATAGTGTTTTATTTGTTAAGTGTAAGGATTGTTTGGTGTTGTTACAAAGTTTTAAAGTTTGCGTATGTGTTCTATTCCGCTCGTTCTGTCAAGCGGAACATATCTTCGTAACATCAACATATCTTCGTTTAATTTTGTAACCATTTTAAAAAGTAGGTTAAGTAATGTTTTCTGTACTTATTAATTGGATTTTTTGTATAATATTATATATTTTATATTTATTTAATATATTGAATACATTTTTATATGTTATATAAAAATAAGTAAAAGTTTTGAGTAGTGTACCACACTAAAAATTATACTGAGATTATAATAAACTGTTCTTTGTGTATGAAGAAATGTTAATGCGTAACTAGTGGGTCGGTCCTATCACGGGCCGATCCCTCTATACGGGGCCTCATGCAATACACCAAAACTACAGTGCGACGCGGCCCCTTCACCAAAGCCCTTTTGCTCGCTACACGCGAATAGCTTCTTTATCGGAACTTACTCTCGACTCTGTCACAGTTGTTCACTTTACCCTTCCAGTCGCAGGTTTGTTTATCGAGATCGAAAGCCAGGCCGTACGGGCAAGTGATCTGTTTAAGACCTGATCTAGTGCACCTGCGTTAATAAGAAATAACATATTAAGATAAATGTAAAGCAGGCGGAAGTGGACGTATAGAAGGGTAACTTGTTAAGTCCGGAACTATGCAACATTGACTATGCAAAGGCGGAAGCTAACCCTTCGGACGACCACTTCCTATATAGTAGAGAACTTACTTTCTATTTTATCGCAATTCTTAACATGTGTTTTCCAATCACAGGTCTGGCGGTCAATATCGAAGGCTAGGGCCAGAGGACACCGCAGTGTAGCGAGTCTGGTTACGCCGTTTTCAGCACCTTTGTCGCACCTGTATATAGCCATGTTTTCAGCGCAAAATATTTCAGAAAATGTTTATATGTTAATAACATTGGTTTAAATGTTTCACTGAATTAAATGAATAAAATTAAATGAAATACTTCTTGTGAATGATAATGGTGACTGAAAATTACATTATAACTTATTGCTAAAACTAAACAAAACTAAAAATATTAAACATCTGATTAAATAGCTTATTATTAATACTAAGAGGTTCAAAAGTAAATACCGCTTGTAGTCTCGCACTCAGAGGTTGGTATTATGTAATATAAGGACCTATTTACTACCAAAGTGACGGAACGAGTCGTAGAGCGCTATTAAATGGTACATAGTTCTTTAAGTAGTAAAATATTTAAAATGGCCAGTCGCCTGTAAATATGATAAAGGTATTAAATCTTATTACTATAAAGGCTAAAAAGAAACTTTAAATATCATGTATTAGTTTATATTCCCTCTCAAGTTTATAATGATTCAAATCCAATTATTTAATTGTATTTTATGTAAACCCCATCACTACTTATTTATGGTAGTTGTAAATTATATTCATTAAAATTTGAAATATATTATAGTCATTTATATTAACACTCATTTTAATATAAATGACTATATAATGTAAATACAATGATAAAATAGTTGCTTATAAAGATTAAGGTGAAAAGTTTAAGTAATTAAATACGATCAGAATTAGAATTGGTTAAATTTAATATTGAAAGCTGCTTCGTTCTGTCGTTCAAATAACAAACACAACTAATATTCAAGACACGATTTTGATTGTCGAGTGCTCCGTTCGGCGTGTAGAATATCAAGTTCTAGCATACTTAATAGTATATATTGGTGGTATGCACCTATAAATAAATTTAAGATAAGAGAATGGCATGAAACATTGTAGTAACTGCTGGATTTACCTCTTAAACAGAGTAATTTTATTACATTATATATTTATATATATATATTATATATTATAACAGGATTTTCTTTTCTTTTTCAATAACTGACCTGACAACGTCTCGACAATCGTTCTCAGTAGTAAGTCGGAAGTATTCGTCTGCAGGGCGACCTTCGCAAAGCTGTTCAGGGCTTAAATCATCACCGCCAGCATCTTCTTCTTGTCGTTTCACACGGATTTCTCCGCTTACTGGAATACAATCTATGTTCTAAAATCCATTACGTAAGAACGTTAACGTAAGCCAAGACAATTTGTGAACTCATATTTTTTGCAGTTGCAGCAACGGATAACCGTCTAATCAATTCTTTTGTAACAAATCGTGTATTATTGGCTAAATGCGCTTGTGTAACATCGATCTACGTTGTAAGCTTGTAAGTACCGATTACCACATACGGGCACCAATGTAGTACTGTTAAATCTCGGTATCAACTACCTTTTATTTCAGTGGCAGCTAGATTTAAATATTGGGCAATGCGATAGGGATTCAATGAATTTCATAGGTATAAAAAAATAAAGTTAAAAAGTTTATTCCAACATTTCTACTGGAATTTGCAATTGAACAGTATTATAAATTAAAAAAACCCTTTTATAATCATTCTAGTTGCGTATTCGGTTAATGAAATCATGACGGCATTGAAAGTTTAACGTTTAAAAGAAATCGAGGTCAGCACTAGCCACGCAAGTAACCGGTGTTGTTCTTTGTGGCTTGCAACTTGCGTTTAAAAGACTGTGACACGTTAGTAAGATTATTTATTCTGCAATTACGATTATTTTTATAAGAGCTTAATAGTAAAAATATCTTTTATAATATATTTTTTTAAATACGTACATATTTTATAATTAATATGATAAGAACCAATAAATCAATTAAAAATAAATGAATGATAAAAAATTATTAATCATTAATTTTATCTCGAAATTACTTTTGTATTTTTATTTTTTGATAACTATTTTAAAATAATTAGTTTTTATGTAAAATTAAAATAAATAATAATTATTAATTAAATAAATGTTTGTGCAAATTATTATTGCAAAAGACAATAAGTACACGTTTTTGGAGTACTTACCAAAGTAGACGAACAATAAAACTCCGAGACAGAGATACGCGCGTCGAGCCATGGTGCTCGGGAAGGACTGGCCGCTGCGTCGCGCACCACAAGAAAGTGCAAGAGCTGTCTGTTGCCCCTCTTCACCTATTTATATAAGCAGCCAAGACGTCGAAGACAGAACGACGAGAATACTCCAGTCTTATGCGTACTACACCTCTCGCACATATAAATCATAACTCCATCGACGCAGCTTTTAATAAGCATCGTAACGTTACTGGAACTGATGTTGGAAAAATATTATGTTAATTATGTTTTTAGCTAATTATTATAAATAAACTAAAAACATACTTTAGTATTACATTTAGTTAGTAGTACACATCATTGTAAATAAAATATTTAGATGATTTTGGGAAAAGCTACACTAAGAAAAGCTGTGTTTGGAGACTTTAAAACCAGCTTATCTAAGGTGTTTGTAAATTTTTTCTCGTAGCGACAAAACAACTTAACTCTCGTGTATATAAAATATATAAAGTAATATTTATGTGGTAAAATGGTAAGAGTTCCAATATTTACCTTGCTCTTGTTTGACCAATGACTTTATTCCGTTAAGTCAATGCGGATTTGTAAATGTACATACCTACTTGTAGCACTTGTATAATATATCGATTTAATTAAACATTTAAGTGATGCAAAGTAACTAAAATTAATTTTTGTACAAATCATATAAACTAATTTTCTTTAAAGTTCAAAATTTTTCCGAATCAAATATGCAAAAAAATAAGAGACGCAACAATTTCATCAGTGATTTCAAGAGAATATTTCGCATCACCATCGCTATAATTAGCATAGCTAATAAAGTTAAGTCATCTGAAGAAATATTTTAAAATGTCTAGAGTAATTCGAGGTAATATCTTGTTCAAAATTTTAGACTTAAGATATTGTAACTAATTAATATTAACATGCCAGAAGTCTGGTAGTGCAGTCGGTCATAATATTTTCATCTTTTCTAAGCCCTCAGTTGGACATGGCATTATCAAGATTCTGTTACAATAATCAGACAATTCACCTGTGCGTGATGGTTTGATGTCTGAAATTTAGAAAAAAGTTTCCTCTAACAGTAATAGTAAATATAATACTAAATTATATAGTATTATAGTAATAATAGTGTAATATATAATAGTAAATTTTTAATACGAAACGATGTTAAGTCTAATAGAGAGTTCGTTGATGTCTTTTGCTTTGTCAACTGATATTTATGCATTCTAACGTGAAACACATACATTGAATTCAATATTAAAATTTTGTTTTATTAATAAAATTAATATAATGATTGCTTAAACTAATGCGAATACAGCGAATTAAAATAATTTCCGTTTTATTCCGCTGTCACGCGGACACATTCTTTCTACAATAAGAGAGGCCTACGTATAGCATAGACTCTTACGTCCTGATAATGGTGAAGAAGAAGAATTTCTAATATAATTTATTTAACACTCCGTGCGTTTCGAGTATTCCAAAACATTTATTGTAGTTTTCTTTGCATGTTTTAGCTTTGAATTATAAAAAAATGTGATATATTTTTAAATTATATATAAGTAAATTTAATTTCACATACAGTCAAAGTGAACCAGATAGAACTGTTTTACTGTGAATATCATTTTAAAATTATATAAACAAAAAGGCTTAAGAAAGTTGCATAACATTTTTGTAAAATAACGCATACAGCTATAACCATATTTAGCTCAGAGTATTATATTCCTCTGAGTCTCACTTTCGATTGTTATTCAAACTTGTTTATAAAATTTATGTCAATGTCACAAGAAGATGTAAAGAAGATCCGAAACTGTAATCTTGATTTACATAATTAGTTTATCAAAAGTTGATGTTGAAGGACATTTAATGTAAAACAAGAAGGACGGGTTTTCTTAGTGTTAATAAAGCGCCTTTCAACTTATAAAAATGCCTATAAAGTTTTAGGAAAATATTTAATATCTTCAGATGACATCATATTTTTTCAATTCCTTCGGTAAAATATTGAGTTCATAAGCTTTTAAAGAACAATTCGATTAAAAACTATAATGTAATTTATATTTAATACATAATTTCAGGATATTACATAACTAAGTTATTACTTTTTATATACGAAAGATAAATGTGTTAAACATATAACGTATTTTTATATTGTACTTATTTTTTACATGGTACAGTCTGATCCAAGTTGTAGAGATGCTACAGCCATTTTATGGTTGTAACATGCATGGATTGGCTTGACCGGGAAAAGTTCACGCTCTCACAGAATGCTAGCGTAAAACAGAAACTTAAAGCTGTTGTGTTTCATACGGTGAGTATATAGAACCGGAGACCCTTTTTACTGGAAATGAGGCATCCCATCTTAGTCCTCATCAGAGGTGACAACACATGGGCACTTAGTTCTAGGAGTGACAACGCATTTGCTAATTTGATTCTTAAGTGAGGTAGAGTAGATATCTATGGGACACGGCATCCGCTCGTCATGAGATGGACTGTGTGTGACACAATACAAATATATATATATGTTTGGTATTGTTTTCAAAATTTAAATTAGCTCTTAAATTGTCAACATATAATGCACAAGATATATAGGCATTTCCCCTTCTATGTCTGTTGCACTCCTCTACTTAAATCCTTTTCAATTCTTGGAGTCAAGCTTCGGAACTCCTTACCATTGACAGGTTATCAAGGTATCAGGCTCTCACGGAATACCAGCGTAAAATAGCAGCTTAATGCTGTTGTGTTTCATATGGTGAGTCCTAGTGTAGAGAACCGGAGACCCTTTTTACTGGAAACGAGATATTCCATTTTATTCCTCAAGGATGACAACACATTGGCATTTTGATTCTTAATCGAAGATAAATGTGGTCATATATAGGCCACAGCATCCACTTACCATCAGAATATCTGTGTGCTCGTTTATCACCCTTATGCTATGAAAAATTACTATAAAACATGCTCAAATAATAGACTCCTTTAAAAAACAAGTTAAAAATTATCCTTCTTTCATTTCTTCCTGTCGCTTTATGATCACGACTCACGAGTCTGTCAATTAAGTGAAGTTCGGTGTATTCATTACTTTACTTTTATATTTAATATAGAAAAAGATATAAAAAATAAATATATAGGGATAAGCAAAAGCGCTAAAGATATTTTAAAGATTTCAGGACATTTTGGTAATTAATCAATCAGTAAATCATGTCTACTCTGAGTACTTTTCAGTGCTAATAACATAGGTAAAAGGCTGGTAAGTTTCTGTAGGTAATTAGATACTATGGTACGGCTGAAATACTAATAAAATTGAAAAGAAGTTATAATAATATCTTTAATAATTCAGTTTAATATTAGTTATTAGTTTAGTATTACATTAATCAGTAAAGCATGTTTTACTGGTATTAATATGCTAGCAGTTTTCCATGACTCCTGGAGTAATTACTTCAGCGGAAATCATCCGTTCAAGACGACTGTTGCGACGATTTGATGTTCTCTGATTACGGTGTGATAGTTTGATATTCAATATAACGCTAATTAATGTATCAATTTCTTTAATTTGTATTTTAATATAATACTAACGTTTCTCATCCATATTTCATCGCCGGACGACTGTCTTAAAATGTAACAAGATTTGTTTGCTTTAGGGCAGATTTTCCATCCTCAGAATGTAATGTCTAACAACTATTTAACAAATAAAATTATTTGGCTTGTTAACTGCCAAACATATCGACCGGTGTATTGGAATATAGCAACGCTAACCTTTTAGAGGTAAGGAGGAAAATATTTTAAGCGAACGTTGGAGTAGAACAAACTATTTTTATTTTATGTGAAGCAAAAACGTCTATTTAAAGTATCAAACATCAGTTTAAATTCAAGGTTATGTTTTCCTAGTTATTATTTGTGTAGTTTTTTTACGCTCACCTTATTTTGTATGTAATTCAGGATATGGAATCAAAAAAAGAGAGCTAACTTCAGTTTCATTTATTGATTAATTTTTCAGAACTTCTACCTCAGTTGTCAAGGTCGTCAATTCTATCAATATATAATTCTATCAACACATGTATATTGATGTATGATACTTTAAATAGACGTTTTTGCTTCACATAAAATAAAAATAGTTTGTTTATATATATAATACATGTATATATAACATTTTAAATAAATATATATTTAAAATGTTATATATACATGTGTTGATAGAATTATATATTGATAGAATTGATGACCTTGACAACTGAGGTAGAAGTTCTGAAAAATTAATCAATAAATAAAACTGAAATTAGCTCTCTTTTTTTGATTACATATCCTGAATTACATACAAAATAAGGTGAGCGTAAAAAACTACACAAATAATAACTAGGAAAACATAACCTTGAATTTAAACTCATGTTTGATACTTTAAATAGACGTTTTTGCTTCACATAAAATAAAAATAGTTTTTCTATATGTATATATATATGTATATATACCTGGTCGTTAAAAGAGACACGTTTATTCCTTGGGTAGTCGAGTTGTTTGTCAAATAAAGTCTATCGAACGATTGAAAAATTCAATTGTACATTAAAAAATCGGTCCTTAATATTTTCCATATCGTGTTGCTAATCATTAACACTGACAAATGTCAGTGCCTCTTTTATCAAATAAAAGGGGCTAATATAATACAAAATGTACAAATAAGTTTTAAAATTCCATCGATATGTCATTGAAAGCGAATCTTAACATGTTTTGTATAAACACAAAATGTTAAATACTTTTTATTATATGACGTTATTTATTTATTCATAATTCTAAATTTTTTATAATTTTACCTATGATTTCATTTCTCGCAAGCGTTCATTTTCCTTTGCACTCCTCGAGTTTATTACAAATACGAGTATGTATTTCTCAACGGATCCAAAAAAATTATAAATGTAACTCTTTCATATACTACTGTTATACTAACATGTATAGAAGGTATTTATGTATACAGATCTTTTCAGCATTTACATTGTTGCTTAACTATGTATACTCATAAATATGGTTTGTCAATGTAGATTTATTGCTAGT